ACATTGTATAGATGTGGTTAAAATAGTAGCTATTTCAAAATATTAAACATAAATGCTATCAATTACATAATTTGAACAGAAAAAACTAAATTTCTTTCACCTTATAACTAGCAGTGCCAATATCTTTTTGAATCAAATTCAGGATTATATCTTTCAAGCTGAATACTGTCTAAACAAACACTATAGGATGGCAATAAAATCTTGGGCTCTAGAGCCAGATGATGTGGATCTGGATAGCAGTATACTGCTGGTTTAGACAAGTCTAGAAACTTCTCTGTGTGTCTGTTTCCTTCTTTCTGGGGTGACCCATAATAGTACTTACCTCATGGAAATTGTGACAATTAAATGATATAAAACTTGCAAAATCTTACAACATATATCAAAGGGCCAACTATATTTATTGTCCTCTCCTAGGTTTGTTATACTTTTAACAGCATACTCTAATCTTTAGTGGTTTTAATACATTTTAATTTTAACAGACATCTTAAACTGAGGGGGAAGGGAAATTTTCCTAATTAGAGGAGAAAAAATAAATTACACAGTGGTTCAACTTTACTTTTCACGTCACCTTCAACTTGCTAGTTTCCACACGTGGCAGAAAATCAATAAGCCCCTCCCAGAGAAACACAAATTGGGATTTGATTTTTTACAACTTTGCAATAAACACCAAATTGCTCAGTATTGTTAGACATATAGCAAAGAGGTATCTCCACCTTTCATCTGGGGTCTAAGAAAGTCACAGTATGGCACCGTTCCCAAATGAATAGAAAAGAATGCTCAGTTCATGTTGAGTAAAGTGATGAGTTTGGGGATAAATAACAAGTTTAATCCTAGCTTCCTTTTCACCTCACATCTTAAGGGCAGCTCAGACATCTGATCCTATGCCCTTGGCTTTGGTCTATGGTATTTCGAGGGGCTCTGCAGCTTTTCAAAACATGGCTTTGTTTAATCTAATCATCTATGGCAGTGCAGTCCCAGGCAGATCAGCACAACCAGAGAACACCTCTAACCACAGCAAAACACAGGCAGCCCGCCTACTGTGTCTCCTCCACTTCCTAAGTTTTGGCTGAATATTTGGTCTTGACTTTTTAAAACTGCCTGACACTAGCTTAGGAATCACACTAGAGTCTTTCAGAGTGGAGAGATTCACTTAGCACATTTTATAATTAACTACTATAAAGCAAACCTCTGGCATGTTAGCAAATTATGGATTTCATTAATCTAAATAAAATCAGATTGCTCCCCCTAGTATATTAGAAACTGGCTTGACATCAATAAAATTATTGTTTTTAGCCACCATGTGTGCAGCAGGTGAAACCTTTATTATTACAAGCCGATAATAAAAGTTTGACAAGTTAAAAACATAAACTCAAAATGTAAACTTACATCAACTTAAAAACTTTCTGCAGTTCACATTTGGATTGTAAAATGGCTGTAATGCATTCCTGTCTCCACCCAAGGCACATGGATGGGGACTGTGTTTCTGATGGTTTGAAGAAAAATTTCTCAAATTTTCTAGCAATGTAGTCAGTGTTGCCATGCACATAACACAGCAGAGGGGATGGCGACTTATTAATGCCTATCCAGTTTGTACTTATCAACATCAACCTTCTAGAAGTCTGCATTGGCATCTGCTGATCACATATCTCCAAATCTAGTTGGTACTGTGGTTGTTTTAAAGAATTAGCAAGAAGAGAGAAGAGTCCCAGCTAAAATACGTTACACACAAAAAGGGCAACTTTTCTGAATTGTTCATTTAATCTGTGACACTCTAATAGAAGCAATTTTGCTTTCACAATAGAAATGGTGCAAGAATGGACTTCAGCTTCGTCTCTATTTATATTATGTGGTAATCTCCAATGTAGGAATTTTTTTAAGTGGAGAGGATAAGGAATTAAGATTTACCTTATTCGTGCATAAAATGAACCAGGCTTTATATCTGAAACCACTATGTTCAGAAAGAGGAAGCAGTTGTACACTCTGATGAGAACTTGGGAGTGAGTTACTGAACATGCTATTCTTAATCAAATATATCCTTTCACTTCTCACAGAAAAAGAACAAAGCAGACAAATTAAGGGAACAGTCTGGAAATTTTCTCCCAGCTTGTGTTTTGAATGCAATAACACATTTACACTATTTGTTTGCATGAAGAAACCACACACTTTAGGGTGAGGTTCAAAAAGATTCAAAACACTAGAAAACACGTTTTAAAATGTCATTTTAATCATCACACATAGTCTATTCTCCATGTGGAAAGTAGCAAGTATCTAGTAAAAATAAAAGAAAGAAATTGTGTGAAAAGAATAGAGTAGAATTAGAATCCAGAGCATAGCTAGTTCAGGCAGGGCTGAGGCAAGGCTGACAGCTTCATGAAACAACTTAAAAATAAAAGCACTGGAAACAGATTAGTGAGTTGGATTAGCTAAGATCACAGGGTGTGCAGGGGGAAGACTCTAATAATATGCAGAGAATTTAGAAATCTTTTGTGAGATTATCTTTCCTAAAAAATCTAAGGCTTATATTTCATAATCTATGTTTCTAATATTTAGGCAAAAAGCAAAATGAAATAATGAAACAATTAGAAAACAAAATGAATAAAGCTTTCTTTATGAAAAAGAAAATTAAAATCATATCCTCTTAAATCCAGAAATTAAATATCTCAGATTAGGCCATGTGTAATATAAAAAGGGAAATTGAGTGTTTGATTCAAGAAGTAATTACAGAGAATTCTAAAGAAGTAAACAAATGATCCAATCGAGAAATTAAAGGAGACACAAGGATGTAATCATATAGCAAAGATTTCAGCTTTATTTTGCATGTGGAAGCCAATATCTTTTCTACACTCCTCTCTTGTATAACCATGTTTATTAAGGTAAGTTCTTATTGTATATAGTTTCAATATAATGTTTGGTTTTATCAGTACCTGTCCTCCTACCTTTCAGACTATTTCATCTGCCTATATAATCCCAGGCCCTGGTTGAAGACTCAGGACACTAAGGCTCTTCATTCCAGCCTACAAGCATTGCTAGTCAAAGCAGCCCTGAAGAAACTGCATTTATAGCCATACTGCTTCTCTTACAGTGAAAACTTTCTGGTGCTGTCAGTGTGTGAAAACAGCTACTATAGGCAAGCAGGAGAGAGAGAAGAAATAGCCCTTCACTTGGTAAATCTCCTCTGTTTAATTATAATCCTAAATATTTGGGCTAACTTCTCTTATCTGCCACTGCAAGATCAAAATGTTGCCTTGAGCAGCTCTCGTATTTCTTTCACTTACTCATTCATGCACATGGTAGATATGTTGTGAATATTGATTAAAGTTCTGTATTCAGTCATACCTTTATCAGTTAGTTTCATAGGCATGAGTGAGAGACATGTGAAGACATAATCCCTACTCTGAAGCCCAAATAGCTTGTGTTTTAAAAACACCCTCAGGCATATTGGTTTTGCCAGTGCAGCACAGGGAAACACCAGGCCTGGTCCTCGGTCCACCATACAGGGAGCAAACAGAGACCCACTGTCCAAATCACTGCTGAGATGACAGAGAACACAGAGCCAGAGGTGGGGCTCTATCTCAGATAGAGCTGAGGTCCTGAGACAAAAGAGGCCTATTAAAATGCTGGAATGAATTACCATCAGTGAAGCCTTTTGATGGTTGTATTTGTATTAAGGTTTCATGTTTGTGTTTATTGTTTGGATTATATGAAGAGCAGAAGTTAGGGACATTAATGTCATGATTAAAACTTAAGTGTGAAAATTTTACTACTTAATGCTACTGAACTGGTGAAACATTCAGACTCATGAGATGATATCTTTAATTACAAGTTGCTTCAATTCTTCAAAAGAAATTTACCAATTAGGAAAGTTGACACTTTGTGAACATAGTCTCTGCCTACTAGGAATATAAAACAAGTTTTAATTTCCATTTCAAAGTTATGGTTTCAGCTTTAAAAATGAAATCTGTTTTATACAAACAGAAAAATATTTAGAAACCAAATATAATAATAATCAAACCATGCTTTGCTCCCTCAAAGATGAGGTTAAGAGGATGCACAGGTTCAGAAAGTAAATGAAACATTTTATCTAAGTAAAAACAAACCAGAAACAGAAGTACATGTGCATACAAATAACACGTACTACTTATACACTACCTAAATTGCTCCCTAAGATAATTCTGTGAAATAGACAGTCTTGTTCCTATATTTCTGATAGAAAACTCAAGTTTATAGTTTAAATAATTAGACTGATGTGACATAGGAAGAAAGTACGTTAGCAAAAATTGAATGTAGATGTCTCTGATTCTAATATCTATTCCCAAGTACAAATACGATTTCTCATACACCTAATAGCCCAAGTCAATAATTAGGAAGCGCATCTTCCTTATTGAGGGATATATTTTCATAGTTAACTCAGTCCTAAATTTATACTCATAGGATTTAGATGTGTTTCTTCTAACAGATAAATTGAGTAAGTGACATTTTCAAGCAAAGCATATGGAGTGCCAGTTTCACTTCATTTGCCTTGCTATTGAGAAGGAGGAATATTTATCAGAAGTTGCTGATTACCTTTGACAGGAACCTACTATTATCATTCACAATGCAGCAAAACATGTTACTTTTCTGTGCAAACTGATTAGCCCTGGATGAGTCAAACCTGTCTTGAATAACTTCAAAAAAGGGCAACTCTGCCTTCTATAGGCGACTGTGACAAATCTTGTCTAGGAGTCATTTAGGGATGCTTAGAAAGACAGGAAGACAGCAGAAGTAGTGAATTTCTTAACTTTTAAATGACGCTGTCAGAAGGAAACATCTACTGAGTTGCTGACTTTGTCTTCCTTGTCCTGTATTAGTTAACCCTAAAAGTGCAAATATAAGCAGATTTAATCCCCAATGGGTACATCTGAACCAGAAGAAATCTGGAATTAATTGCCAAGTATTTTGGTTCCTCTTGCAGCTGTTACAAGTGTTTGATTTGGCGAGGGAAGAAAAAAGGCCCTGCATACCAATTTCGTGAGCCACAGTGAAAGCTGCGTGGAGACCATCATCTTCAATCACTGCACAGCTGCGCTCCGGAGAACATATGGTCCCAACGTCTGCCATTCCCAGGGTGTCACATGAATGATGCCCACATAAATCCTATCCCAAGAGAAAGAAAGAAATCATTAAAATCAATTTACATCCAGAAGGAGCCACCATGTAGAGCCACTTGCTCACCCCACATGGCCAAACCGGGATATGTTTATGGTTATCACCTGCTCAGCTCTGGAAATGTGCCAAAGACAAGCTGAAAGCAGCCACTCTTCTGATCTACTCTGGGACCCGGAGGCATAGGAGGAAACAGAATCCAATTACACTTAAAAAGATGTATTAGGATTATAGCTTGTCCATTGCAATCACAGAAGCAACCTTAATAAAGCTGTAATGCATATGTTTATGTCAAGGTTAACTTTCACATATGGTCATGCTTAGGAAAAGCCTAATATGCTAAATTTACCAGAAGACTGGTCACAGTAGCACAAACTTGTGACAGAATATAAATTTATCTGTAATTTTAAATCATATTATTTATCAAAAGATCACCTCCTAATTTGTAAATTGAGTTCTAATTTCATAGATTTTACCTTCAGAAATTTACGCATTTTTATTTGTAGCATCTAATTTTGTGTCCTTAGCATTATTAGTTCTTAGAAAATACATGTAATGAAGGTGGAGTCTGTGTGTGCATGTGAGTGTATGCATATTTGATAATACACTGCATAGTTTTTAAACGATTCTCAAAGGGGAAAAGATCAGACCTCACTAATATTTAAACGTTATTGATTTAGATGAAGGAACAATAAAGATATTAAAAATATGAGGCTTACAAGGAAATATAAGCCACAATTTCAGGTGATAGATTTATAATGATAAACTTTCCTTTTAAGTGCTATTTAACAATTAATGGATTAGAATTTCTTGTGTTTATCTATTATTTTTAGCAAAAATTAATCAATGGCATGTGTATGTATATAGCAAAAAAGATAGGCAGTATTTCTAGAAGCCATAAGTCAATAAATGCAGCAGGGAAATTATTAATTATAGTGTGAAATAATAAGTATTGTTTCAGTTATAGCTGTCATCTTTGGATCTGAAATGACCACAGTGTTTCTCTTTGGGACTCAACAGACATTTGCTTAACTGAGTTGAATGGTGACATATGGTGAGGCTCGGTGTAGTCCTTATACACCTTTCACATGCTGCATGCTGGTAGGACTTCAACAACCTCAGGCAATCAGTGAAGAACAACATCACTGTACAAGAAATGCCACACACTCAGAGCCAAAACGCTTTCCTAACTTTTCTCTATCTTGCCATAAACATCTAACCAAGATAAAGAATATTTGAAAGATATCCCCTATTCTACTCCTTTTAGAACATTTTTACACCTTTATTGTGTTCTGTATATCATGAGTTTCTACCTGTGATGAGTGACATTGTGGTCATCATGTTACTGTAGCTTCAGACAGTGGAAATCTCAGCCAAGTAGCTTTGGTGAATCAAGGCACCAAACCAACAATAGTCCTCTCAAATTTTCTATGTAGCCTCATATGTCATCCCTTGGGATTCCAAATTACAGCTGTTGAGAATAAATTAGTGGTTTTTAAAATTGAATTTGGAGCACACTTTTGCATAATAGCCTTTGACATATTAATATAGAACAATACATTTTTTAATCCTGCTTTCTTCCCCACCTTCATTTTAGTAGCTCTATGACTAAATGCCAGGTCATAGTTTAAATGAGTTGCTAGACATTGAGGGTTATATACACAGTGTTTTAAACTAAGAGTTACATTTATCTTCAGAATTTTGGTTTCATTCTTTTCAAATAATTAGATCCCAGAATTAAATTTTCCTTTTTACTCTTTACTCCAACAGCAAGCTTGGCTGAAGAGTCACAGCAAAGGGAAACAGCCTTCCTGTTCTGAATGCAGTTTCAATGAGAATCTTAATATCTCTGTTTACTGCTAATCAATTGCTCATTAGTGGCCCTCAGCCCTCCTTGTCATCTTTGAACTGCATTAAATGCACTTGGCCTTTTGCCATGGAAATATGTGCACATGACAAAATTATGAACAGAAGCACTTTTTTTTTTAACCACACTGATTAAGCCTCTTGACTATATAGCCACATTATTTTATTTCCATAGCTATAATTACAAACCGGCAACCTTTCCACATCCTGAATGCAATTTCAAAGCTTAACAGAACAGTTATGTTTCTGTCCTCATGATTTACAATGAATATCTGAATTTCTTTGTGATTCAATGTTCATCTCAATGTATGAAAACTAACTTGTGTATCAAATTAATAAGAATACAGCATATACTTTCATCCCTATTTTCTCAGGGTGATTTATAACAATACTTACAGATGTAAACCTTACAGAATTTTTTAAAATTAAAGTCGAGGGCTAAGGGTACTATTCTGACAATACTGTCTGTTTAAAAGATTAATCTTACGCAGTATCCACGTAAGAGGTAAATAGATTAAAAGTGCTGACAAGTGGATTTCTGTTTATTCCATGTGGGTCTAAAGGTAAATTACATTTTCATCATATCAAAGATGACTCTTTTTACACAAGATCATTATCTTATCACCACGGTTTGGAGAGGAGTTCAATGAAAGATTTAATAAGGTGCAAGGGCTGTAAAAGTATGCAGAAATCTAACTGTCATCTTGCGATGTGATTTGGCTAGGGTACAAGATGGAGACATTGTATCTAACTCAAAAATATATCTAAGATGATCCTCAAAACAAAAAGACTGGACATCAAGGTCACTAACATCATGACCATTTATCCGCCAGGAACTCTTAGAAGACTATGAAGATGGTGAAAGTTGTGATTTGTCATTGAATTTGGAAGTATTAACAGGCCTGAGCCCTCTTTGTGGGGATGGGGAAGAGGCATTATACTGCCTTGAGAAGCAAGGCCCAGAGGACTGTGTAGCTTGGAAAAATCCCAGTGTTCCGTAGTACTGGGTGGGGAGTGTGAATCAAGCAGGCACGAATACCCAAATGGAACAAATCCCAAGAGTTGGGAGATTTCCTGTCTTGATTGAGAAGACTGGTCTCCTGTGCAGCACAAATATGCTGAGGGAAGGACTAGAGGAAACCCAAGTGCCGATAAGGGTAGATACTATCAGCAGTGGCAGCCAAAGTCCGATGGGAGTTAAACAACGATTTCTGTTTCTTGTAATTACCTCCTATGTAAATAGGGAAGGGTGGAGGGGGTGAAGAGTGCACAGGTAGTGGGGAAAAGAATAAGAACCAAGATACATCATGTTCAGGTACAAGCACCCAATGATAAATGTAAATGTATTGTATACCTAAACTGTACCAATTAATATATAAATAAAAAAAATCTCAGGATCAATGAGAAGAATCTGTAGGGCAAACCAAACCAATTAAAAGTGCAGAAAAATAAGAAATACAAAATATCACCATTATTCTTTCAATAAACTAAAAAGTGGAACTAAAAAAAAAAAAAGAAAGAAATGGGCATAAACAAGGCTTGCCTGTCTTGAGATGTCCAACCCTCTATCTACACAGTTTTCACTGGAGAGATATTAGTGACAGAAGAATTAATAGTTCAGTGCATATTTAAACATAGATATTACACATACTGTATATACCTGCTTATATACTCATACATGTTTGTTCTATGGGTATTTTTTGTAATTATTTAAGCTTTGATTAGTATGCATTAATTGTACATATGAATGGATTCAATGTCATATTTCCACATATCCAAACAATATGCCCTGATCAAATTTCATTTCCCTTTACCCACCACCTATATCCAAATGCATCTAATTCTTGAGGTGTCATTCACTTTTCTGGCTACTTGTATAGTAATTCCCAATATCAGAAGCCTTAGTTTGTATTTTAGCAGAAACTATATTAACAGGAAATTGGCAATCATTGAAATACTCATGTTGCACAATCTCTACTCATATCTCTGGACACGACTAGGTGATAAGAAATATATAGAGCCCAGATGAATTAGGGATTAAGACGTACAGGATCATTTACTGCATGCCTACAATCTGCAAGCCATTGTGCTAAGTGCTGACACTACGGTAAATAAAATATAAATAGTAAATAAATAAAATAAAATATATGATAAATAAATAAAATGACTAGTAAATAAAATATAATCTCCATCCTTAAGAAGAAACATAATCTAATAAGCAAAACAGAGAAGTCAAGAGGGAAGCAAAAGGTAGGATGCTATGAGGGAAAGATTGTTGCGGAGTACAGAAGAGGAATTGGTGAACTTTTCTTTAGGGAATCAACAGAAGTTCTCAAAGGGCTGCGGATAGCTTTACTGGATCTGACAGTGTGGGATGAGGGGGATTTTAACAAAGAAGGAGTCATGGAAACATGACTGGCGGTAAAAAGGTAGGGTGTGTTTTGGAAATGACAAGTTTTGGGTGGACTATAGTGAAAAGTTGGGAGGATGATCTGGACCCAGAGTTACTAGAAAGGACTTCTCTGTTAGATATGAGGTCAGAAGATGAGAAAGAAAAGAAGGGACAAAGCAAACTGGAGATGGAAAGATTGGATACTTGGCAGAATTAGTCTGGAAATGAGAATAAAGTTGTTAGAAAAGGAGAATGGCAGGTAGATTGCTTTTAAAAGTGTATTTCTAATAGGAAGGAAGAAGCATTGTAAAAATTATTTAGATAATTTGAGACAAAGTCCTCTCATTATTAACATAAGGCATTTGGATCCGGCAAGCTCTAGGGCTAGGTCCAGCTACACAGGTGCTGATATTAACTGGAACCATTCCAATTTATACATAGGTGAACAAATTGAAGCTCAGGAGCAGCAAGTGCTCAAGGTTTGAAGCTCTAGCAAAGTAAAGCTGAAATTCAAACTTACATCTAGACATTTCAATTCCCGAATTTACTTCACCACGGTATTGCTAAATAATTACATATGTTATTTTTGACGTTAATCTTATCTTTTACATTCACAATCTGCTCTTGATGAAGCAAATTTCTTTTTACCCTAAATGAAAACAGCACGATCTTCATCTCTATGGTATGTTTGGCAAAATTCAATTATTTAGAGGCAAACAAAATATACACAATG